TGAGGCTCGGGACGTCGGGAGGGGTGGATGGGCGAACGGTGATGGCGATGAATGGGATGACGACGCTGAGCGTGGGGGTGGGCGTGACGCTGACGTCTACGTTGGTTTTTAGCGCGGTGATTTTGTTCTTGCTCGCGCTTCAGGAGGCGAGATACGTGGTGATGAATGAACCGGTGATTTTTTACAGGTGCGACGGCGCCGATCCGTCGTGCTGCGTGAACGGGCCGCATAACAAGGGCTATAACGAGAGGTTCGTGTACATGAACCACGGGCGCGGGTTCGAGACGCGGCGCGTCCAGTGCATGCAACGCCACTTAAAGGTGAGTAAAAAGTGCAGCATGCTCGAGCCGTTGATTGTGTACCCCAAGGATGAGAAGTGGGGGTTCTGGTGATCGAGGACGAAACGAAAAGAAGGACGTAGCGCGCGCGGTGAACGCGTCGTTGTACCATCAACTACAATTCGCGACTCACTCGTCTCGTCGCACGAAGAACGTCTGCGCGTGTAATCTCGCCGCGTCCGCCGCGTCCACATTTTCTCCGTCTCGTAATACCACGTCACCCTGACGCGTGGTGAGGATGAATCTCGCATCCATCAAATCGTCGTCGACGGAGCGCGCGTAATCGAACACGTCTCGAACAAAACATCCGCGCGAGCGATCGAACCGTCTCGTCTTGACGGCGCCGTTGGGTAAATTGAGTCTGAGCGTGACCACGGAAGACCCAGAAGGTGGCTCTTCGACGATGGATTCGAGCAACGCGCGTCGTCGCTCGGCGGCTCGTAGCTTTTCCGTCTCCTTTTCCCGCTCTCTCTCCGCGAGCGCCTCCTTCGCGCGCTCAAACTCCTCTTTACGTCGTCTCTCCCTACTCACGAACTCATCGTACTCGTCACTCGGTTCGAGATCGACCTCGACGTCTGTTTCGAGCAGGGACACCGCGCCGTGCCCGTCATCCGGCTCAACTCGAACGACTCTCAAATCGTACGTCGCGTCGCGAACCGTCACCTCGATCTCGTCCCCGACCGTCGCCGCGCTCCGGCCCATCATCGTGCGCTCTAAAATGTCTCGCACATTCTCCTCCGCTTCGCACGCGCGCGCGAACTCATTCGTCTTCGGTTTCAGCGTCATGCGCGTCGCGCTCGGAAGCGCCGCGTACGTCACGCGCACCTCCGCGCCGACGTCCGTCTCTCTCAATCCCAACGACCGCAGCATCGGCCGCGGGATCCCGATCATCCCAGTGCTCACTCCGCCGTAATCCAACACTCCGACGTGGCACGTTCGACCGTTCGACGCCTCGACGCGAAAGTGCGCGCGTCCGCTTCGTCCCGCGCCGAGCGCGTCCGCCGCGCCGCCCGGCAGTCTCGCCTTATCGTCTCCCCTCGCCCGTATCCCTCGCCGCTCGGCCTCATCCGAGATTTCAACCCGCAGCGTGGACGCGTACGTCACGCCCTCGTTCAGCGTCGCCAGGCGCTCGGCGTCTTCTCGCTGCGTTCGCTTTTCTCGCTGCATCGCTCGCTCTCGTCGCTCTCGCTCCGCGCGCGCGCTCGCGGCGATCTCCGACGCCCGCGCGCGCTCGCGCTCACGCGCACGCCGCGTCGCGTCGAGCGACGCGTGCTCTCGCGCGAGCTTGGACGCGGCGTCGCGATCGAAGAGCATGGTCGAAGGCGTCGATGACTGACGCGACAGTTCCCGACGCGCCGCGCCCACGGAGCGATGATGCGATCGCTCAGAGAGACGACGACGCGAACGTGGACGCTCGCGTCGTCGGTGCGCGCGAAGGCGGTCGAAACCGGCGCGCGCGAACGAGGGATCGCGTCGTGGATGCGGGGCGATGCAGATTTCATAAAGTTCATGTCTTCGTCGACGACCGCGCTCGCGCGCGCGCGATCGTCGATCCGTGACGGTCACGGACGCGTTGGCGTGCCCACGCGTGAGGTGTGGTGTCGACGGACGTTCGCGTCGAGCTCGATGGCGAACGCGGGGAGAGGGAAAGGATCTTCGGGGCGCGAGGGCGAGGGCGAGGGCGACGCGGACGAGACGACGTCGGAGATCGACGTGCGACGAGGGGCGAGGTACGACGAGATCACCGATAAGTGGATCCCCGAGAAACCTGTGTCGGCGGTGGAGGGGGCGTCTTACGGGATCGTGGGGTTGATCGGACTCGCCATCGCGGCGGCGGCGGTGTGGTTCGGCGTGTCCGAGCTCTTGCTCACGCCCAAGGAACACTTGGTCATGGACGCGGCGATGAATAAGCTTCGGGAGGACGTGCGGGTGAGCGTGGCGTTAGGAACACCAATGACTTCGTACGGGAGCGAGAGTCGGAACAGAGGGGCGCGTCGGAGCGTGGCGCACAGGGTGGTGCTCGACGAGCGCGGACGCGAGCGGTTACTGGTGCAGTTCTACGCGCGCGGACCGCGAGGGAGCGCGATCGTTCGGGCCGAATGCGGGATCGACGCGGCGACGGGGAAGTGGACAGACTTTACGTATATCGTTGCCGACGTCCAGGGAGCGAGTCAGGCGCGCATCGAAGTTGTATCGCCGCAGGCCGCCCCGCAGCGTCTCGTCGCTTTGTAGTACTCTCATCAATCCGACTGTTTTGCAAATTCAAGCGCGCGCTACCGCTACTACTCACTACCCAGAAAAAAATTACAGTTTGCTCCGTTCGATGCGCTCGCGTTTACCGAGCCAAATCGTGTACGGAAGCGTCAAACAAAGCATAGAGATGCACACCGCGTTCGAGCCATTCGGACTCCCCGTGTCGACGGCCCACGAGAGCAAAGGATACTGCACCAAACTCCAAATCGCCGAGATCAACAGCCCGACGCCGCACAGCGTGCCGTAGTGCTCGAATCCGAATCGTCGACCTACGTTCGCAAAGTACATGGCGAATATGAACAGACGACCGAATCCGTAGAGAAACATCCCAAACACTTGCACGCCCATGCCCGCGCTCTTTGGCACCATGAGCGCGCCAAAGGAAATCGCGGTGAACACCGTCGCCAATCCTTGGCACGCCCCGCACCCAATCTTGTCCGCGACGCGTCCACCGAAGGCGGCAAATATGGCGACTGCGCCGTAGGCGACGGCAAAAATGCTCGAGTACTCCCCTTTCTCGTCCCCCTTGAGTTCCAACTGATACCCGATGGCGGAGATGTAAAATTGCAGCGGACACACGACGATGGTGAACCAGACGACCAAGCCAAAGTACTCCGCCGAACGCATCTGCTCCGCTCGCGTGTAACCGTTCGCCAACCCCTCCGTGCGTTCGTGCAAACTGCTCACGCGTTTTATCCCACCATCCTCGCCGTCGTCGCTCTCCGTCGTCTCCACGACGGCCGTCTCCACGAAGGTTTGACCGGAGGGCAGCATCACGAAACACAGCGCGAGGAGCACGGCGACGCACCCCGCGAACGTGTAAAACCCAATCTTCCTCTCGTCCCCCGCCGTGAGCGCCAAGAACACCAATCCACTCACCTGAAACGCCCCACTCAGCGCGCTCATCACCGTGCTCTTACACTCCGGAAACAACGCCGCCACCGGCTGCACGCACAGTTGCAAACCGCTTCCCAATCCGACGGCGAACATCCCGCACGTCAACAGCGCGTCATCCGTCGCTCGCGCGCTCGCGACCGCGATCGCCCCTAAGCACACGAATCCCAAGCACACGCATGCCGTGAATCTCGTCCCGTACTTATCTCTCGACCATCCCGCGACGAACCGTCCGCCTTGCACGCTCCACGACCCCGCGGTGAAGTGCGCCGCGAGGCGCTTCTCCCCGAGCGCGCTCGTCTCCCGGAGCAGCGATCGACGCAGCGGCGGCCATCCGTAGACGGTACCGGCGACGAGCGAGGTCGCGGTGAAGGCCAGGGCGAAGTGCGCGCGGCGGGAGAAGCGGCGGCGTTCCGGAAGTTTTCGTGCCGTCGATGTCGTCATCTTGTGTGAATCAGCGTTGACGACGACGACGACGACGACGACGACGACGACGACGACGGGTCGCTCGTCGACGACGGGTCGCTCGACGGCGCGCGCGACGCGC